CGCTCTTCTCCTTGCTCGCGATGAGGGGGGGAGTGACACCGAAAAACCGGCCGGAGGTTCACTTCGTATGATTCAGGACCGCGTTCTATCCGCGATACTTTTTGCGACATTCCTATCCACCCTGGTTCTGCTCTATCTCTTCCCGATCCCCGATTAGTAAGACACTGATTAGAATGAAAAGCCACCAATGCGCGCGACAGAAACGAAGAAGCGACTAGTAATTAATAAGGGGTGCACGGAAATTATAATATCTGGAGATGGCGATTTCCAGAGAAATCTGATCTTTTTCTTGATTAGCATAAACGCCGTTGTGTCAGTCTTACTTTTGATGATCGCATCGAAAATCTGAGGATCATTATCTCGTTCAAACAAAGATGCACGCGACACTTTCAACGTTTGTTTTTCGTGATTTGATACTTTTAGGACGGCATGTTCGATTACTTTCGTCAATTTTGCATTTATACATATTTATTGACATTCGGGAAAGTGTTGTGTCGTGGATTGGACACGACTTCGACGTCGAAGATTTCCACAGGTAACGTTTAACGGATCTCCTTTTTTTAGACGAAAAAAAAAAAAAAACGCTGGAATGTTCGACAATGAAAACGGCATTCTTCTTTTGCAAATGAGTAAAGAAACTAAACGATTAAATATTTATATGAGAAAATACACAGAGTTATCATCGACGTCGAAGCGTTCTGCGATTTTTTAAAGTGTCTTTCAGAGCGTACACATCAAAGAACGATTCGTGATAGCCGCGTCTCCAGACGCTTTAAAAGATATCAGAATATATCTTTTCGCCGCTAAACCTCGCTGAAGCAGAGTATTTAGCTCTCAAGAATCGATTTATCACGATAGTAGCTTTAACAGGGTTGTTCGCTTTTTTCGACCTCCGTTCGCGTAAGTTTCCTCGCTCGATGTAGGAATCCGCGAGCGAGGAACCTCGTCAGCGGAGAATTTTTGGAGATAGTTTTTAAGTATCAATAGGCAGCTTGGTGAAATGTTTAATCGGCTAAGTATTACGTAAGTTTTCTTTCGGAAAAGGCCTTCATTTTTCATCAACGATACATGGTAATAGGATACTATTTGCATGCGGGAGAATCCGAGAGGTAACAATGTCCGCTGCAAAAGACGATTGCTTAAGCAAAATTTTATTTCAAAGTCTGGTTAGTTTTCTTCGAGCTTACCTTGACGTAAAATCAAAGAGCGCAATCAAAGGCGAAGGCGCGCTCGCATATCACGTTTGGTTGTCTGTACTTTACAGAATGTACCGGTTATTCGATCATCGCTTGCGATCGTGTAAGCTGACTATCCTCAGCTAAACTGATGAAATGATATTTTGATAAAGAGAAGGATAATCGGGATAATCGAAATCGGGAGATTGATGATGTGCAATACTTGTTCAAGGATTGTATAAATCGTATATATTCATCTTAAATGTTTAATTATTCCGTATTCTCGGAAAGTATTCATTGCCTTCTATACGACGAAAGCCTCCGATTTACAATTGCCTTAGCTAGTATTGCAACATTATTCTTTGTACGTTTAATATGCCTGGGATCCGCGATTGTCTCTCAGGAAGAAAAAAAAAAGAGCAGAAAGAGAAGGATAGCTATCGATTACCTTCGATGGTAGTATTTTCTTAAGATTCGACCAATGAACCGCCGTCTACGGCTTTTTCAGGATTGGTGGGTCTGTGATAGGTAGCCTGCGAGTATATTACAGAATTCACAAAAAGGTGCTAAGGGAATCTCTTTTAGTTCAAGGATTTTCTATTTTGGTATGTTAGGTCTAACGAGAGATAGAATTTGGACGTTGAAAAATAATATGATGTTTATATTTGTTTGTTATAAGTTATACTAGCAGTATATCACTTTCCTTGCTCGTAATTTAGTAAGTTAGATCGATTGTCTTCTTCATTGCGGTTATCTCCGAAACAAAAATCAACATTTTCATTTCGAAAGGGAGGAAACAAAATAGAGCACTCTTCAATATTTCATCGACCAAACAATTCGGTCGTAGTCTAAGATACTTAGATCGAAGTTATTTTTATCTGGGCTTGTATTTCTGGAAAATCTATTTTACACCGAATTTTATCATCGATAAACGTATAGAATAATTCTATATGTGGATATTGAAAATTGAAATTAAACAAATTATATCGAGACATACTTTAATTTCTGATATATTTATACTTCCAAATAAATGAAAATATCAACACAATTATCAAAAATATATTACTCAAGATCAAAATGACTACGATCTATGATACACTACGGTAGAGACACGGTGCCTGCTACCTGCCAATTTATTTTCATAAAAACGATAAGAGAACGTAGAGGGCATGTATCGTCAATATATAATATTTAATAACTTATACTATATTATTAAGAGAACGCTCTTCAGATTTGCAGTTGGGACGGAGATCTTCGTCGGGAAAAGGAGACCGAACAGTATCGCAAATCCGATTGATTTATAGATATCAACAGTGCACTTTTTAAATCTCATTTAGTCTCTCAGGAACTATATAATTCAGAAACACGCGATTCTTTGATCGTAATCCTTGCAATATTTATCCAAACAGTGCCAAATATCCTATTTTGAACACGATGGCGTCTCCGTTTTTCCGACAAGATTTACGTCGTTGGACAGATCCTAGCGCAAGGCAGCATCTCGATCGTTGCGAATTACTCGAACCGAATTTCCAGAGCGCACAAGTGGAATTTTTTAGAGAGACGAAATGATTCTTCGCGTAAAAGAAAAGTGTAGAATTCTCTCATAAGTGGGCCTTATAACGGGTGACCACTATGTGTACTTGGAGACTATCATAATATATAAGCGTATATATTTATACGTACTATGTCGCAAGTCGACATGCGTTTACTATACGTATGCAGTATGCCAGTGTATTTTTTAAGGGGATGCAAAGACGAGCCGTATTTTCCATGATTTTTGCGATTACTCGAATTTAATCTACGATTCTGACGGGAGATGAATGATTTCGGCGCGTACGCATAAGTGACATTGCATTTTCCTTTGCAGTTTCGAGTGTGGGTTGCACTTTCTAGTCTACAATAATATCGTTAGTTATATAAGTCAACCTGTACCCGCGTTCTAGTCAGTTTATTTTTTCTTCTTGCATTTATCACAATCCGCTTTGAGTGGCTTTAGCATATCTCACTTGCGATTGATAAACAATGATTCTGGAGCAATTTATTACTTAATCGAATGTCGATTTAGTCAGTTTTAAGAACGGCAATGTCGTCCTTTTGTTAGTAAGACTGGAACGCCCGATACATTTTTTTACAACTTTTAAGTCCCAAATTTTTCTTGTTCTTTTTCTTTTGTACTCATTTGTGCTATAAAAATTGATTATTTGTATTTTAATAGTAGATAAAAAATTAACATATACAATAAATGATTAATAATAGAATCTCTAATAATCTTTAAAAATAACAATGCCAGAAGTTTTGAACTGCAAATATCAATTGCAGCTTAAATTGCATCATCACATAAATTACATTTCCGGGCGTTCCGAGTGTGAAATATAATTAGGCGTTCGTAATTAGTTTCCGCATCTACATCCAACGAGCGGATCGTCCATCGCGTCCATTATGGAATAATAAACAAACGGTGATAAATCATCATCGGATATTCCATTATACGCTTAATCACGCCTGATCATTACGACGAGTGCCTAATAATTTTTCGCGAAGACGCGCGAATACGAATGATCGCGACAGCGACACATCACATCAGTATTATTCTCACATTAGAATTGGAGGCGAGATATCGGAGTATTCTTAACAATTTAAGACTGGATTCGAATTTAGCATACCGGTGTTTACCTTATATTATCAATTGCTTAGCACGGCGATCTATGACCGATCTACGTGATTATCCAAGAGATATCTAGGGCTAAATCTTCACAATCATAAACGACAGAAATTAATGCGTTATAATTGACATTGCACAAGTCAACACAATGATATTTTGTATAGAATGATAAAATTTTAATAATTATATCATAGAAACGTTAGAAAACTGATCAGTTATAAATAAAATTATTAAATAAAATTATTATTTTAGAAACATTACATACATTTGATATTGTTTCATAAATAAAAATTCTGTACACATACTATATGTATAAACTTTGATTTGACGCAATTGTACTAGTCGAGAATTAATCTCGTAGATCGTTGCATTGACATTTTACCAATAGCTTTCGCTTTCACAAGAGGCTACATCACTATTAAGCATATCTACGAAACGTGAAATGAGGGAGAGGGATAGAAGAAAGAGAGAAGAAAAGGGAGAAATATGAAATCATTCCGTTGCGCGTTAGCTTATATAATTAATTTTTGTAAAGTATGCAAAGAAGCTTATATATATATATATTTTTTTCTTTCAACAAAACATTAAAATATGTAAAATATGTAAGCCAATTAAATTATTCGCTAGTTAGATAAATCCACACTTGGTGCTTGGTATATTTTTGTTCGTTGTTGTTTTGTTTAAGCTTCTAAAGCTTCTTGTCTATTTATACGTATCTATATTTATTCCGCGGCGTCTCTCTAAATGCCGCTTCGTACTTGCACGATCGATCGTGCCTGCTCACCGAGCTCAGACAATAATTCCTTTCTATATAGATATGTAGCCTAAGCGGAGTCAGGATCGGCGAGCCCAGCACGATCGATTCGTTTCAACCCGGTCCTCGATCTTCTAATGAAGCGCTCAACATCAGCTGATCTTGAAAAATGCATACAACGTAAAACATATTTCTATCACTGCGATCGAATCGGATATAATTTTCATTGTCATGATCGTTCATTAACATTCAAAATTAATTATATGTACATAAAAATAGAGAATAAAAAATCTCTTATTAAAATATTAGTAGATCTTTACACGAAAATTACTTTCAGATGAATTATTCAATTCTTTTTAAATAAATTTGCTAATTTTTGCCTAGATTTTTTAAGTTTCACAATTTTGAGAAAAAGAAATTTGGACCATTTTTCACACGTAATTAAAATTTAATATTTTATATATAAAACAATAAATTTATATTATTAATTTCATGAATTATTAATCATTTGATAATTTAAGAAATTTTACTATTTATAATTACTACTTATCATCCGATTAATGTTCAACTAATCGATCTTTTTTTCGTTAAAGATCTATCTCTCCTATATATATTACATAGCAAAAAATGTAAGAGTAGTTGAATATGAATTTTTAATTGAAAACACGTGCTCAACAAACGTGTCTATTAATGAAACACTGCCTATACTTTAAATGAGTGAAATTATACGACCCGATTCGATTGTCATTAGAATCGAGCTACCGATGTAACGTGCGCATTTATTGAAAGATTTGTATTTAGAAATTCTCGCAATGTGTTTCTCCGTTTTAGTCTTTCATATTTAATTTATTTATATAAATTAATGTCATATACAACACTCGTCCGCCATCCCTGACGCTTCGTTATTAGAGAGAACGGTCCTAGTGGCGAGACAATTGCATTTTTCCTTCAAATTTCGATCGTCAAAAACTGAATCTCTTTTAATTGTATC